ACCAGCCTTGTGAAAGCTCCCACTTAATTTCACCTGAAAACACATGAACTTGCACCATTGCATGATGTCATCATACAGCAGAACCTTCCAACTTAGGAATGAGACACACCTCCATGCGAGACTCCTCTACATTAGCACTCATGAATCCTCATTCTTTGATGAGGCAGTGAATAAATGTGCACTGAAAAAGTGGGCAGGACAGGTGGGAACGTGTGTACAGGTGAGTATCTATTGGAAATACATATTCAGGAAGAGGAAATGGTAACTACTGAAATGAATACTCATCTCCACACAGATTCCTAGAATCCCACATTGACATGGTGGAGGGACTGGTGTAAAAATTCCCTAGATAGCTCCCTTCAAAATGGAGAGGAACAGGGGCTTAATAGGGGCATACTCATGGGAGACTGCATCTCATCTCATCCAGGGTGTACTCTTCATCTATGTAGGAGAACAGAAGAGGCAGAAAAGCCAAATGTGTGCTGCAAGGATGGGCAGAATAGGTACATGGCTGTCTGAGAACTCACACACAAGTTGTTGGACAACCAATATAAGTAGTGAGGTTGAGGTTTGTTTGAGCTGTGCCTTATGTGCTCACCTCCTCTACCATCAGTCTCTATAGGCTCTATTCCAGTTGCAGAAGGAGGGTAAATTATGGATAAGATGATAAAAAACCTGTTACCCAGTTTTCAGTTTTCCCCATGAAGAAGAAAGGTCTACCATCCGAAAGTGCTCGGGTTATAGGGATTTTATCATCTTGTATCAAGACTTATTAAACATACATGTTTTTCTGACCTCATGTATAGATACTTATAGACACCTCTCATCTACTCCAAGCCTACTGTGGACTAGGGTATGCGAGTGATACATCACTGGTGCATATGGTGTATTCATCACCCCAATTCTTCCTTCAGTCTCTATGGCCCACACGCCAGCTGCAAGAGTAAGGTGTTCCATTTTGTGGAATGGACCAGTAACAGAGATACCATATGCCCATTAGTAGTCTGTGAAGTATCAGTTATATATGAGGGGTGACTTGCAGTACACTCTGGTGTCACCAGCCCCACTTCTCACTGTAGAGGGATCTCTTCTTCTAGCCCCAATGGTTAGGTCCCAGTTGGTGAGGTCCACCACTCCAGTGGCAAGGGTCGTCTGTGCTCCACTTCACAATGGGTGGTGAGAGAATTCCTGTAGTATAGACCCAGAGAATGTTCCCAAATCCCATTCAGTCTCTCTGTCCATAAAGGTATTTTACTAGAGACGGTGCAACAGGTGACCTCAAAACCCTATATTTAAAAGCCAACAAGCACTACCCAGAGAAGCATGAAGAAACAATACTCCAGTATGTTGGTCTTTTTCCATGATAGTCCATGGAATGGGTACAGTTTGGATCAAACATGTAATATGGGTATAGAAATAGCACAATAAAACTTAGTGGTCTTGTGGAACACCTTATCTCACAGTGAGAATTTGTAGAGCCACGGTGGATGGTATGATTGCTTTCCGTTATCCTGGCTCCATGCAAAATTTTGGTAAATTAGTAAATATGTGATGTAAATACAAGAAAATCCAACCATATAAAATACAAAAAACTAGCTGTAGGATGACTATATGTTGATGTCTAAATCCCTATGGAGATAAAACAACCAAGTGGTTCAGATATTTGGTGGCATAGAGGTGGGTGGTAGTCCACATGCCATTCTGGAGAAAAGCATCAAAAACTGGTGAGCAAGAGTAACTATACAATGTAGGATGTGACAAATCTGTTGAAAAGACACACTAAAGAGCTTACACTCATCCATCTCCAAAGAGATATAGATTGGATGGATGATTAGGCAGATCCATCCTGAAGGGTAAAAAGACAGAGAATGCAAGTATAGTAGGGAATCCACAAAAAGAAAAGGGCAGTGATTAGAACCCCTAAAAGATTCTGGAAAAGTGTGACAAACAACAAACAGACCAGACAGAACAAAGGAGTTTTTCTGGTACCAAACAAGCAGAGATAAGCGACATAGTAAGAAGATGTATTGGGAGAAAGGTGTGATCACCAAACCATGTCATGGAAGGCTAGAGAAGGAAAAACTAACCAGGATAAAGGAGAAGATAAGAACTTTAAGAGAATGCAGGGAGTCTGACACCATACTGAAAAGAAATGCATGGAACTAAAATGTGATCCAGATGGATGAAAAAAGAAAACATTGTGAAGATAGGGAGATAGGAATATGGAGAAAGGCATCTGAAACATAGACATTGGTCATCCACAGGCCAGGCTGAAATAACAAATGGAGAGAGAAATGCACAATCCAATATCGTATGACTACCAAGAAACAACAGAAGAAAGAGAGGTTGATAATTGGATGCTAGTCATTGGCTTTTGAGAGAGGGGCTGTGAATCCTCACAATGGGTTAACATTCCCATAATTTCAACATAATTGGAACCACAAGAAAGAGTAGAAGAAGATTGGAAGATCACCAGTGATTAGGTTGGTGAGTAAGACATCAGAAGGAAGTGGAGAATGGATGGTATACAGAACATAGGACTGGGAGCAGGAGAAGAGCCAGGATGAGGTACAGAACTGATTGGTCAATGTTGTGACAATCAGGAAAATCAAAGATGTGAGAGATGATTGATGGCAGGCAGCTGAAGCCCTTGATACAAGGGAGTTAGGGACATAAAATTCCTCCAGAAGAAGAGAATGGGCAAAACAAAAATTCTGGAGAAAGGTGGAAGGGACATGGACTTCAGAAAGGAGGGTACCCTTTCCAAAATATTCCAACACCAGAGGAGGTGGAATGGAAGCAAAAAAAGGAGATCTAAATTCCTGAGGAAGTTCTTGACAGAATACACAAACTCAAGGGGAAAGAAGGTAGCTGTGTATGGAGGTGAGTATTCCTTTCAGAATCTATGTTTTTGTAATTTCTTTTTGTGACTTAACACAAAATATTTAATACTTATTATATTACTTACTAATTTGTGATGGAAGTACTGCTTACAAAAATTTATCTTCTGTGACTCACATACAAAATAATCATGCAAAACATATAAATTATGAAATTTTTCAGGACATAATTAATTAGGCACTGAAGTTTTAATCTTATTCCATTTACCCATTGTTCACATACAACTATATAAATTTATCCAAACTGTTGGACATTTAGTTACAACTTTATTAAAGATCTTGTCAAGAATTTATTAAGTAAATTTGTATTTATTTGTATTACATTAACATATTCTAAATGTTTTAACCAGAAATATCTATAGCCCAACAAATGCTTACAGAGATTTATCGTGTACACAGAGTGACCAGACACCCCAGTTTTTGGAATTTTGTCCTATTTTCTCACATTTCTTTTTTTTCTGTCAGTAATCTGTAACTTTTTTTTATGCTTCTATTCAGAACTTTGAACATCTGACAACCATGACTCAATGGATACAATTTTCCCTTAGTATGGAAATTAACATACAGTTTGGACTGACTCAGCACTTTCTTTGCTGCTTCCTCGGAAATTGGCTATAAGTCAAGCTGTATCAGATAACATATTTTCATATGTCAATGAGCATGTGATTTTGCACCCACAAAAACAGAGAAAGTTGAATGTAATTCTCAGGTGCCATTCACAGCCCATTTTTCTATTTCAAGTCACAAACCATTTTTCAAAGTAACTCAAGGGTGATCATAAATGAAAGTTTCTCAGAATTTTACAATACACCCCAATCAAATAAGTTGCTCAAAAACTATAGTAGCAATAATTTAAGTAAAAGTATCTATTTCACTTGATGATATTTATTATTTGCATAATTCATTGGTTATAATTTCCCATGAAAAATGGGGATTTCTTCTTCGTTCAATTTTTGTGCAAAGACTATCCATGCAAGCCATTCTTAATTTAAGAATGATAGATTAGAAATAAGGCAACTAGTCAACATCATCCACTGTCAACTCCTGGGCTACTCTTTTACCAAAGAAAAGTGGGATTGAATGATAATCACATTATAATGCCCCTACAGTTGAAAGGACAAGTATGTTCTGTGACAGGATATGAACCCATGTTCCACAAATTGTAAGACGAGTGCCTTAACTACCAGGCCATGCAAGACCATAAAAAATAAATGTGTAATTAAAACCAACTTGTTCCAACTGAGTTACAAGAGACTGATGCTGTTGGGTTTTTTTTAAACTCAAAGTTACCCAACTGACTGTTTGCACTCTGCATACCACGAGGAACTGGACCACAGATTTTAGCACCGTAAACCAGATTTTAACATTGTAAAGGTGGAAATGTGCCACTGACCCACCAAAGGGACCAAAAAGAAAGGGTCTCAAGTTTGAAGTTCCAAAAAATCTGAATTTGTCCAAATTTTATGATTTCCAAAATCTGGTCACCCTACATATGCATATAATAGAATTATATGTATGGATGAAATATTAACTGGAACACCAGTAACATATTTTTGTAAACTGTTCTGGACTTTCGCATTCTAAAAGAGTTCAAATACTTATGAAAAATGTTTTTTTTTCTTTCTTTCTATTGGTTACTGGAGTCATTTTATTTTTCATATTCTCTTATATAAAATTAATATTGTTTAATACAATATATATTCTGATAAACAAAGCATTAAAACTTGCTGAGAATCTCACAAAAAATTTGAAGCACATCTATATCTGAAACTTTATCAAACTAAACACACAATAGCGTATTTTATTCAAAAATAAATACATTAAAAATGAATTGTAATGTGAAAAGTATACTATTATAAAACAATGCATTATCCACCATAAATGCAATACAAAGTTAAAACTATGCTGTACTGACCTCTTGATAATATATAATACCACACACCTGAAACATTTAAGAACACTGTGTACAAAATGACCTATATTTATTTAAAATGAAAGAGAAAGTAAGTAAGTAAAACAGTAAAAGGTAATTTAATTAGTTTCTAATAGATTCAAAAATTTCAAGATTTTAATTAGCTTATTAACAAAACACCATCTTACCTGTTTTTTTCTAGTTCATTGTGCGTTGTTCTATAGGAAGAAATAATAAGAATGTTATACCGTCACAAAAAAGACAAAACACTTTTTTCTTACAACCCAAAAAGTTAATTATATTTCATTTGTCTAAAATATTAAATATTGATTGTGTTTGGAAGACGGAGAAAATAATGCATTCGCTATTGGGAAAAAGGAAGATTTAGCTGAAAATTTGCATGTATAGCAACCACGAATAGATAAATGTGACCTGTTGGCTAAAATATGGGCTTAAAAAATTATGGTTAGCTTATCCTGTGGTACACTAAGAAACATTTCTCTTATTTTCAGGAATGCTCTTCTTCTTCCAGCAACTTACAATATTTTATAAACTGAACAATCTGTTGGATCAAGCAGAATTGCCATATTTCCTACTAAGATAATTCAATTACACCACAATGCATTATTTCTTATCACATTACATCTTTCCACTGTAATTTAGGTGCAGTTGATTTGTTATGATACATGTCCAAACATAGAAATATCAATTAATGTTCTCTTAAGTATTGTATAGTGACTAACATTAAATCAAATCTAAGTCACTAATTAATTTGGATGGCTATTAATGGCCAGATTCTTCACAATAAAAACTGTGATGCTGAAACAATAACATGGAGTGGTTGAATGAATTAACTTTACCAAAACACTAAACCTGCCAATTCACACATTTGTTACAGTAAGTATATTTAAATATGGCATTTTGCCAACATGAGTCAAACACACGAAAACTAGTTCTGAATTTGACACTATGAATTTTTTTTTTCTTCTGTACTTTACAGTATTTTAAGTTTGAGTTTTTATTTGGGACAATGAACTACAATTTTCTGTGTAGTTCCTGCACTTTCTTCAATGATGACCCAGAAAAAATTATTACAGAACAATGGCATAATCATGGATCTTAAATAACTGGTAAAAAATGTCAGAAAAAGACCAGTTTACAACTAATTTTATAGCTTGCATTTATAGTAACCTTCACAGTTATATTTAACAAGGGAGTAAAAAAAAAACAAGGTATTTCTCTTTCTCAACAAACTTAGCAGTAATCTCAATCATTACAGCTTTAGATATCTTGTTATACAAGTTAAAAGCCAATAAACTTTAAGATTTGATTTTACCATTCCAAGCACAGAAGATAAAATCTTTTTATTTCAACTAACAGATCTCAGAGAAATGGTTGAATTTTATAAATACTACATTTTTTAAGGACATTAGATATTATTATTAGAAATCAAGCTTCTGTTAAGAGATCTAACACATTTAAGTAACATCTAAACACAAAAAAAATTCATAAAACTGGGCTAAATCGGCTCCATATGTAATATTTGTGATTTAATAATTTGTTTGTTAAAAATTTATATTTTCTTAAATCCATGAAACAATATCAAAAGATACAGGGTACAGTGTATCTGAGAACTAATTTCACCTTATCTATGAAGTAAATTCACAATATAATCAAAAGTTTTTTATGCAACTCAAAAACTTTTTGGTCGTAATATCATATATATATTGATGACCAGGTAAACCACAGCAGTGTAAACCTAACAGCATCAAAGCATAACATTTGAAGAATAACAAGGGGTTCCTAGCTTCACGGTGGCTGTCCCATTCATTTTATCAAACCCCCATCTCCCTATATCCAGTCCTGACTCAACTAACATTCATAAAAGCCCTCTTTTGAACCTTACCTGTCCTGATGAGTTGACCACATATGAAGACAATCTATTCCAAAGGATGACCACTCTGTTCAAAAAATATAATTGCCTAATTTGCTGATGAATCTCACCTTGCCTTATCTTAAATATATGTCCCATACTCCTACCACTCTTTCAATTAAACAAGAAAAAAAAATTATGCAAAAATCCCACCTATTCCCTTTATAATTCTGAACACTTCACCCAGATCCCCTTTAATACTCCTTTTATCAAGGAAAAATAAGGACCTTAATTTGACCTCATACTACAGCCTATCAATCTTAATAACTCAATGACCTTCTTCCTACTGGCTTTTCACTGGCAACAACATACTAACAAAATGAGTTCATTTCCATCAAAGTGGTAATTACGGTTTAAATTAAGGTAGCCCATATGCATTATATTGCACTTTGCATAATTAAGTGTCATCTGCCATATGTTTACTCAATTCTCACCCTCACAGCCAACTACACCCAAAACATTCAAAATCATCAGTTTGTTGACTAGTTCCTCATCAATACCATCAATCATAAGAAATCAGTACAGGTCCCAGCATAGAACCTTGATGCACCTCACTTAAAATTCCAATCCAGTTTGACTGAACTCAATTTATTACAACTCTTTACTTCCTCTCCTCTAAATCAACCATTAATTACCCCGAGTTATATCTGTGTGCAAGAGGGATAATCTAATTTTTTTTACTAGTCTTCTATGTAACAGTTTGTTGAAAGTCTTATGAAAACCCAGACATATGAAATCCACAACTTTATCCTGATCAACTTAAGCAGTGATGGCTTTGAAGGAGGTCAAATGATTCATAAAACAAAATTTTCCATGAAAAACCATGCTGGCTGTTCAACAAAACTGTAAATTTTGTTAAATATAGGTAATCAAATAAAAGGTGATGTTCGAACTTTTAATCTAAAAAAAATATATGATCAGAATTATTATATCTGAATACTTCGAGATACTATAGAAGTTGAAAAATGCAGCCCAAAGCTGCAAATAAAAAACAGAGAGTTACAACTAGGTAGTCTAAAAAAAAAGTAAACAAACAAGGCTAGAAATAGTATCTACACCATTTTCTCAAGCTAGAAATCCCTATTTTGACTCCATGTCTACAGTACTTATCAATTTTTAATGGGGGTCAAAAGAAATAAAAACCAAAAACTGATATAATATTCAAAAGACTAATAATATCCTTTATACAATTGTAGATGACAACTGAGTTATAGCTCCACATTTATACCATCCTATCATAGTAGTGTTACCACTTTCTTATGCTAGTGGCCATGGCAATATGTAAGTCATTATCATTTTACGATATTTCTGCATAATGTATAATAATTATTATTACTGTTTATTGTGGGAATGGAATTATTTTGTAGGTTACCCACTTGTGTGTAATGTGAAAGTGTCCATTTTATACAGATTTGTCCATCTTGTCACCCTTTATCCTTGGTTGTTTAAGTGACTGATAAAATAGCTATGTATAATAATTATTATTACTGTTTATTGTGGGAATGGAATTATTTTGTAGGTTACCCACTTGTGTGTAAAGTGAAAGTGTCCATTTTATACAGATTTGTCCACCTTGTCACCCTTTATCCTTGGTTGTTTAAGTGACTGATAGAATAGCTATGCTGGGCTAAATAACATTCTGCCACCTTGTTATTCCTTATATTTATAAGAACAGAAGTTAAACAAATTTTTTTTCACCTTCTGAAGTTGCAAAGGCACATTGAAAAAATAAAAATGTATAATTCTATGTCAAATAATTTTGTTCTTTAAAAGAGTACTTTGGTGTAAGAAATTATAACCATAATGTCTAACAGGCACAGTTGTAATCAGGGCAAAATTCAGACCCACGATTCTTTGATTTTCTGGAAGGATGTTCAAATATTTCAGCTATCTTAGGAATAACTATTTCTGATTGTCCATCACTTAATATTAGCAACTGTTACCAAAGTTTATATTTCAAATGGACTGTTTCAGTTTCATTTAATATTTTGTTCTTCTCTGGTCCTTCCTAGCTGCCATTAGTTACTGAACCTTTTAAACACCAGTGTAGAGACTCAGATCCTTGTACTTCCTCTAAAAATGATATGAGTTTATTAATTTGAGATTTACAAGCTGAGAAAAGTTATGGAACATAAGGTAACATTAATAATTATCACATGCCATTAAATTGTAAATATGTTATTAATGTAGCTATCATGCAACATTTCTCTCACTAATCTTGACTAATAGCAGGAAAATGTAATGTCATTAACAGGATGATGCTCTGCATGACATTTTCCATTGCCCAAACTAAGTAGACTGGAGAAACAGGAAGTCTAGATTTTGCCTAGGTGTTGGTATGTGCATGTTTGTAGTTCTAAAAGTTTCTTACTTCTTTCAAGTTGTTCAAGTAATGGATATTCCACTCTTAAGGGTCAGCTGTTTAAAGTTAACATTTTCTTTCATTGAAAATGTATTTCTGATAAGCACTTATCTTTACTCACACAAAAATGTTCATGCTCAGTTTATGAACTCACCAGTTTTGCACCACTATTGAACACATACACAGCATGTGACTACTTTCCACCAATATTGATGCAGCTAGTTCCCTCTGCTATTCCTGCTCAATCCTCACTTCTGATAATTGGCAGGATTTAAAAGAATAACACTGGCAGTGAGGAGGAAGAGTGGGAAGTACGAGAGGATGTAAATAACTATTGGAAATGAATTTTCAGTGTAAATAAATGTTAAGTTCTGATACGGCCTTACCTCCTCTCACACAAAGTTAGAATCCCACATTACAAAGGTGGAGGAGTCAGTGTAGGTGCAAAACATTGAACCCAAGCAGAAAGCAACTGCCCAGAATGAATGGACGTGCTCCAAGATGAACTGAAGCACATATGTGGGGTACCACACTACTTCTGGAACTGGTATGCCCTTCTCCCTTGAAGGAGGAAATGAACTTGATATGAGTGAAAGAAAAATTATTCACATAAGTGTAATTCATACTGAGAGGTGCACTTGATGTAGCTATGGAGATACCCAACCTCATCTGTAGAGATGAGGTTCCACAACTCGTCCTTGGCATTAGAAGGTTGAGAATCACTCGGAGAAAAACAAATATAGAATAGCAAACAATGTGGCTAGGGCATATGGACCATGTTACATATACACATGAATCCAAACTGTAAGTAGAGTGTCATACATGAAGCAACTGGAATTATGAGGAGGAAATTGGCATGTGGATGAAACGAGAAAAACTCCCAAAAACCACTGTAGGAAATAAGAAATAAAACAAACTTAGCT